AACATTGAATGACCCTAAATGCGATTTTTTTCCTTTTCTCATTTTAAAAGAAAGTAAAATATTTCAAGGGCTTCTGAAAGTTTTGTGAACGTCAGGCACTGTGCTTCTGGTGCCTAAAGGATTTGTCAGCCCAGTTCTGGGGGAAAGAGAAAGGCTTCATTCAGCCTGCAGCACTCACAGTGGGATTGCTATTGCGTGGGAAGCTGGGGGATGGTCCCGATTCATGGAAGCTGTATCTCTTGAGCACGGAACTCAGTGGCCTCAGACCTTTGGCAATAGTGCCTCCAGTTTGCCAGTGCATAAGTATGATGGCTGCTTCTTTGCTTTTCTTCTAAATGTGTCAACTTGAAGAGCAGGAAAGAACAGTGAACTGGAGTCCTGAAAACTAGTGGTGTGGTTGCAGGTTTTGATTGTATGTAGCTGTGTGAGCATGGACAACCTTCATCTCAGGGGGTCTGTTTCCATATTTACAAGATAAAAAAGTCAGAGTAGACAATAACTTTTAAGCTATAATTTATGCCCTACATGCTTCTCTAATATTATTAGAAAAAGTCTCAGAGAGATAAATAATGTTACTTATAAATGGGAACAGTTATACTTAGACCAGAATCTGGAAATAAGTTACTTACTATAATACTATATTAAAATTAGTTTGGAATTATCTGGCAGCTGAGAAATACAGTTTTCCTATTGTCTGATTAAAGGCAAGGTAGTACTTCTTGAAGACTTTATTCGAAACTTTTTCTTTCATGCTTAAACAGAAAAAGTAGCATTAATGCCATTTAATTATTTTAAAAAACCAAAAATTCATGCACAATCTACTACTTCAATAAATATAAATGTTTTCTTTCTAGTCTTTACCAATATGAAATTATTCAATTGAATATTGCAAGATAAAGTATTTTGGTTTTCTGCTTTATTTCACTCAAGAAGATACAACCTTTAATCTCAGTCCACTGCAATGTTTGTGTGTTATTTTAAATGTCAGTACAATACCAATTGGATATAGTTAGCCATTCCTTGAAGATTAGGTGTTGATTTCAATTTTTCATTACTACTCAGAATAAGCAATGTCTATTGAAGTCTTTTGCTTCTTTAGGATAGTTTTTATTACATGAATTCCCTGGAAGGAGGAGATTCCATTAAAAACTTTGAACATCATTTACGTTTTCTATGTTTTGACCTTTGTTTTCCTATGAAATTGTGCTGACTTTACTCTCGAAATGCGAAGGTAAATTTACTGGGGAATATTACAGAGTGTAAATCTTTTCCGTTCTAAAAGGCTCCCAGTGAATTTGTCGCAGGGCACGTTTGATCTATGTGAAAGCAATGGAACTCATGATTTTGACTGGATCTATTGCTGGTATTCATGTACCTTTAGCATTTCACTGAATATAGCCTCTCCAGGGTTAGAAGAACACATATTATTGAATTGGGAATGCACCTGGCCAGAGGTCATGAGAAACAGAGTGGAATGTTTAGATGTGCAGCACTTCTCACTTACTGGGCAAGTTGAGGAAGTTTTATTTATTGTTCTTCTAAGATGGTCCTTTGACTAGAACAGAGCTGGAATGACTCTGGATTGGGATGGCTGGGCTCAACTTTCCCACTATTTATGGCTGTGAGAATTTAAACAGAGCTGAGAATTTCCTTCTTTCCTGGATTTCAAACAGCTTGGTCTCAGAGCGCAGAGCTTCCCCAAGTGTTTCCAGAGAAGACAGCCTGAGGGAGAGGAAGTGGTGCTAATTAAATCCTCCCTCTGTTTTCCAGGCACAGGAGCCTTTCGCAGATGTCTGTTGTTAGGCGTGTGTTCGCAGAGTGCGCAAATACAGAAGCAGGCTTTACTTCCCCAGTGGCACAAACCTTCCTTCGCAGGTTGTAGGGAACATTGGAAATGCATTTTCTTCCAGCGCCCACTGTGATAAAGGTGCAGACCTGCATAAATAGAGCATGTAACTGCCAGGGACAGGGAGGCCAAAGTGCCTTCTCTCTCTCTCTCTCTCTCTCTCTCTCTCTTCACATACACACACACACACACACACACACACACACTCACACACAAACACACACATACCCCTTTTTCCTGCTTCTTCATTTCTTGCTTTCTCAGAGACCAATTTCTACCTTTTGCACCCCTAATTTTAAAAAATTACCTGAAAACTCAGAGACGTCTTTTTCTATGATGAGGCAGCATGATACAGTGCCTTATGGCAGATGTTGCGTGTACTGGACTGAAGGCATGGTTGGGAGTCCAGCTGCTACTGCAGCTATCAAAGTGAGACCCTAGGTGGGTTCCGTCTACTCTGTGTTCCTCGAAAAGATGGAAAAAGAGTAAGCAGCTCTCCTAGGATTGCTGGAAAGATCAGACAAGAAAACATATAAAGCGAACTGTATAAGGCTTTCCACCTGTGAGTTACCTTAGCTGTGTCTTCTCCTACATTCAAATCCTCAGGGTGACTGTGTATATAAATCCACACTTGCCTGAGACAGTCCAGTTCACTCCTATCATCCTGACATAATTGCCAATAGCACGCTTTTCATGCCAAAATATCCAAAATTAGTTAATAAATTATGTGATCATACTACTTTTATCTCTTGTGAATACCCTAGTTAATCCCAATTTCAAAAGTGGAAACTTGCTGGGGGTGGGGGCTTTTTCTCAGCTTCCTTTGTCTCACAAGAACCAAGGAAATTGATTAAAAACCACTTTTGTGTAAGAAAAGGAGGTGACTCTGAGAATAACGTGGCATTCCTACTTTCATGGTGAAACTGGACACGAAACTTTCTAGGCAGCATTGATAACATGCTCACTGTCAGCTTGAAATGATTTGAGTGCGCATTTCACTGAGCTAACGTGCCTTCTATTTTATTTTGCTTTTATTCATATGTACAAAATAGAAACCAATGTAATATTTTTGTTTATTTTAAAGCATATGCGATCATTACTAGCATCCACAGACATGGAAACAAAAATAAAAATCAACTCTAACACTGTCATCTAGAGATAACTATTGTTAATATTTTATTTTTCTACTTTTTGTCCCTCTTCTTAGATGTTTTTAAATCTATTATGCCATACACGTATGCACGTATATACATATGCAGGTACTCTTTCTTTCTTTCTTTCTCTCTTTCTTTCTTTCTTTCTCTCTTTCTTTCTTTCTTTCTTTCTTTCTTTCTTTCTTTCCTTCCTTCCTTCTTTCTTTCTTTCTCTTTCCTTTCTTTTCTCCCTTTCTTCTTTCCCTCCCTTCCTCCCTCCCTCCCTCCCTCCCTCCCTCCCTCCCTCCCTTCCTTCCTTCCTTCCTTCCTTCCTTCCTTCCTTCCTTCCTTCCTTCCTTCCTTCTCCTTCTCCTCCTTTCTCTTCCCTTCTCCTTTTCCCTCCTCTTCCCTTCCCTTCCCTTTCTTTCCCTTCCCCTCCCTCCCCTCCCTTCCCCTCTATTTCTCTTCCCTTTCCCTTTCCCTCACCTCCCCTCCCCTCCCTTCCCTTCCGTTTCCCTGCTTTTCCCTTCCCTTCCATTCCCTTTCCTTCCCTTCTCTTCCCTTCCTTTCCCTCCCCTCCCCTCCCCTCCCCTCCCCTTCCCTCCTCTCCCCTCCCTTCCATTTCCCTTCTTTTCCCTCCCATCCCCTCCCCTCCCCTCCCCTCCCCTCCCCTCCCCTTCCCTTCCCTTCCCTTCCCTTCCCTTCCCTTCCCTTCCATTTCTCTTCCCTTGCCCTTCCCTTCCCTTCCCTTCCCTGCCTTCTCTTTCTTTCTAAATTATTTTAACATTGGAATAATGTTATCTATAATACTTTGTAACTTACTTTTTTCCATTTATAATATACTTTGAATAATTTTTTCCGTGATAAAAATATACACTCACACTTTCAATGATAACTCTGTATTTTATCTTATGGTATAACATATTTTATTTAGTCAACTTCTTACTGATGGATACATATTTCATTTTTTTGGTGTTAGGCACAATGTTGCATGAGTGTCTAATGTTGTTTTTAGATTCAGTGTTTATGAGACATAAAGTAGTGTACTTTTCCATGATATATAATGTGGTATATTTTTCTATTAGATGCATTTTGTGATGGACAAATTTTTTTTTTTTTTTTTTTTTTTTTTTTTTTTTTTTTGAGACAGGGTCTTGCTCTGGTACCTAGCCTGTTGTGCAGTGGCATGATCTTGGCTCACTGCAACTTCCACTTCCTGTGCTCAGGTGATCCTCCCACCTCAGCCTCCTGAGTAGCTGGGACTATGGGCACATGCCACCATGTCTGGCTAATTTTTGTATGCTTTTGTACAGACTGGATTTCACCATGTTGCCAAGGCTGGTCTCAAACTCCTGAGCATAAGTGATCCACCAGCCTCGGCCTCCTAGAATGCTGGGATTACAGGCATGAGCCACCATACCCAGCTGAACAACTGTCTGTGTGTGTGTGTGCGCGCGCACGTGCACGCATGCACGTGCATGCGCATGTGTTTGGGTATTCATCTAAATTATTTTCTTAGAATGAGTTTTTAAAACTGGAATTTTTCAGTTTAAAAATGTGTGCTGTTCTAAGTGCTCTTATGCCCTATTATAACCCAAGAAGCACACAAGAAAATGTATTGTCATTGCTTTTAACTCTTAAATAAGCTTGTAGTCTGGTGTATTTTCAAGCAAAAATGCCATGCAATTTTGAAGAGAAATTTTCTGATAATTATGCAGCCCTCCTCTTGTTCAGCTTCTTATTTCCTAGGATTAAATATGAGAAAATGAAACTCCTTGCAAACTCCCTTTTCTCTGTCCAGAGAGTCTCTCCTTCACTCCTCCGGTAAATGACTTTGCAGGATTATGGATCCTATAAGTCTGTGTGATGAAGCTGTATCTACCAACACCTCTGTTTAGTTAACATCAAGGGTGTTTTTAAGTTTCAGGAATGCCATTGGCTCATCTTACTCTGTTTTGCCATAGCTAGGACACATTTACAGGTAACATTGTTCCAATGAGATTTCTGTGCCCTTGTTTTAGGCTGAAGAAATGTCAACTATTGGGAGTGCTGAAGGATTTCAGGCTGTGTCTCTGAAGCAAGAGGGAGATGACCAGCCCTCCGAGACTGACCACCTGTCTATGGAGGAAGAGGACTCAGGCAAGGGCCTGATGCCAAGACATATTTCAAGGCAGTCAAGTGTGACTGAGTCAACTCTTTACCCTAATCCTTATCATCAGCCTTATATCTCACGGAAGTACTTCGCTACACGGGTAAATTTATCGGTTCTCTTAAATACTACATAAAAGTTCACCATAAAACATCTTAAAATTCTATATGTCACATATTTACCAAGTATATTCACATTTATCTCATGTAATCATCATCATAATCATGAAGTAGTTATCCTTATCCCTATTTAAAGATGAAGGATCTGAACTTCAGATAATCTAAAGTTCAACCATTGTGGAAGACAGTGTGGTGATTCCTCAAGGCCTTAGAAATAGAAATTCCATTTGACCCAGCAATCCCATTACTGGGTATATATCCAAAGGACTATAAATCGTTCTATTATAAGGACACATGCACACGAATGTTCATTGCAGTACTGTTTACAATAGCAAAGTCCTGGAACCAACTCAAATGCCCATCGATGACAGACTGGACTGGGAAAATGTGGCACATATACACCATGGAATATTATGCAGCAATAAAAAATGATGAGTTCGTGTCCTTTGTAGGGACATGGATGAATCTGGAGAACATCATTCTCAGCAAACTGACACAAGAACAGAAAATTAAATATCGCGTATTCTCACTCATAGGTGGGTGAGGAAAAATGAGAACACATGGACACAGGGAAGGGAGTACTACACACTGGGGTCTATTGGGGGGAAAAGGGGAGGGACAGCAGGCAGGGGGAGCTGGGGAGGGATAGCCTGGGGAGAAATGCCAAATGTGGGTGAAGGGGAGGAAGGCAGCAAAATACACTGCCATGTGTGTACCTATGCAAGTATCTTGCATGTTCTGCACATGTACTCCAAAACCTAAAATGCAATAAAAAAAAAATAAAGATCTATTTTTGATCGCACAGATAGTATTAAAAAGAAGTATGTCCTCCAGCTTGCTTCTTTGGTTCCTCAGTCTGTGTTTATGCTAAACCTGATCTCATAGAACTGGTATTCTATAAAGAGAGAACCATAGCAGCTAGACTACAAGGCTGTGATCCCAGTAAGGTATTCATTCTTTGTGTAGAAAAGATATGGATAACAGAGTAGAGAGAGCTGCTAAGAATGTACTTTTTTTTCATTTATAATATATTTTGGATATTTTTCCATGATAAAACTATACACTTACACTTTCAATGATAACATTGTATTTTATTGTATACATATTAACATATTTTATTTAGTCAACTTCTTACTGATGGATACGTATTTCTTTTTTTTGGTGTTAGACACAATGTTGCATGAATGTCTAATGTTTTTATATTCAGTGTTGATGAGATATAAAGTGTTGTGTTTTTCTATGATATATAATGTGGTATATTTTTCTAATAGATGCAATTTTTGATGAACAAAGTTGTTTTTTTTTTTTTTTTTTCTGAGACAGGGTCTTGCTCTGTTGCCTAGCCTGGAGTGCAGTGGCATGATCTTGGCTCACTGCAACTTCCACTTCCTGGGCTCAGGTGATCCTCCCACCTCAGCCTTCTAAGCAGCTGGGACTATGGGCACATGCCACCATGTCTGGCTAATTTTTTGTATTTTTTTTTTATAGAGACTGAGTTTTGCCACAATGCCAAGGCTGGTCTCAAACTCCTATGCGCAAGCAAGGAACCACCAGCCTCGGCCTCCTAAAATGCTGGCGTTATAGGCATGAGCCACCATGCCCAGCTGAACAACCATGTGTGCATGTGTCCACATGTGCATGTGCCCACATGTGCATGTGCATGTTTACATTGGGGTGCTCTATTACAACGTGGGATCTAAGGTTTACATTGGGATGCTCGTTATACAAGGTGGGAGCAGGTAGCTTTAAATCTCAAACTCATAGCTACCATCTGGAGCTGAGCTCTCTTACCTGTGCAATGGAACTGGGAAAGTAAATGGATGGGTAGGTAAGCAGGAGGGAGCTTGTATATCTAGATATTAAAAACCAATGTTTTTAACTTTTAGTATTTGGATCAAGTGGAGAGCACTTCATAGGTTCCTAGTACCTTTCTCTCTTGAGCTCCTTTTCCTACTTATAGATTCTCTTTCCAATCCTTCAACATTCTCATTAATATAGTAGTGGTTAGTTCAGAGGCCACAATCAATTGGGGGCAAAATCAAGGAGTTTACATTATGGCAACAGAGAGCATCTCATTTTCATGTGTATGTGGGATATCTCTTTTTGGAAAAAAAAATATTTCAACTCATTCTCATAAAAAAATTGGGGCCAGGGTTTTGTGACTTTTCCAAAGCTTTAATTAATAAATCCTGATTTGGTTACTTTCAAAATGTATCATTGGTTTAGGTAAAGTTTTAACTAAAGCAACTTAATGAGTGTGTGTGTGTGTGTGCCTGTGTGTCTGTGTGAGTCTGTGTTTAAACATTGCATATTCTCTATATGCAAGATGCTTTAGTAGGTGCTATCTTATATGTGTGTTTGTGTGAGTGTTTCTGCATATGTAGAGCATATGGTTTGTTTTCCAAAGTATGTGAACTTTATTGAGTATGCAAAGTTAAGCTGTGTGATGTAACTGCAAAGGAAATCAAAGCATCTCTTGGAGTTGTGCTATCTTTGATATTGATGATGTCAGGGTTTGATGAGAGAAGAACACACTGTGATATAGAATAAGAGATTTATTATTGGGAGCTGATGCAATTATGAGAGCTGGTTAAGACTATGCAAAGTTGTTGTCTCTGCATCTGCTGTTGGACCTGAAGTTAGAATAGGTCAACCAGTTGGCAGTTGTGAGGAGGAAATAAGAGGGAGCAGGAAAAAATTGCATGGATATGCTGGAATTTTTGGTGACAGCATTTAACTTTGGAGGAAGAGCTGGAACCTGTGTCTGTCTCCCACCAACTTTAATCTTAATGATGTCAGGTCACTTTTAGAAGCTAGTGCTTTCATTCCTGAACTATACACTTAGCCAGCCCAGGGAGAGGAAAATCTTAGGAAAAAAGCCTGACAGTGATGGAAGGTGATGCAGGTACAGGAGATTCCCCTTGCCATCAAGTAAACATCAGGGATATCAGTTGCCGTGAACATGAGTTGTCACAGTGCATGACGACCTGCACTGATCTTCAACAGGGAAAACGACTTGTGTTTCATTTCTGCCTTTTGAATATTACACAAGTGTCTCTTGTTGTCAGCCGTAATTTGGAAACACACACAAAAAAGCAATTCTAGAAAACGTAATTTCAGCTGAGCTAAATTGACACAGTCCAAAGCCACTACACATGATAATTGTATTGGTGTTGCACCATGTAGCTTATACAGCAAACTCACATCGATTATCTGTTTGATTCCCCAGAGCAATACTGGAAGGCAGGCAGGAGAGGGCTTATCATCCTTGTTTTAAAGATGAACATGTTGAAATATGAGAAAAGTAAACTGACCTGTCCAAGTCATATAATGTTAGTGGAAGGGCTGCAGCTAGATTCCGGATCTGGATTCTGGATCTTCTTTCTCCAAGTCCAGTCCTCTCCTGACCATGCACAATAGCATTTATAGCTTCTTTATAAATGTTTTCAATGACTGATTCCAATCAATGTGAAGAACATCTTATCCGTTAGGTGGATAGAAAACAATCTTAAGTTCTCAAAACCTTGTGAGGGAAAATCTTCTAATTAGTAGTAAATCTAAAGTAAACCTGAAGACTCTAGGAACCATAGGGTGATTTTCCCAAGGTACTCAGCATTTGTTCTCCTTCAGACCAACAGACATGTGAAGAGCTCTTATTACTATGTGAGTGAAATAAATGTGCATTCACACGTGAGAACAATGAAAATACAACTGTTGACTTAATTGAAGTTTATCATGATATAATGGGCTGGGTGTGGTGGCTCACGCCTGTAATCCCAACACTTTGGGAGGCCAAGGCAGGCAGATCACCTGAGGTCAGGAGTTCAAGACCAGCCTGACCAACATGGAGAAACCCTGTCTCTACTAAAAATACAAAATTAGCAGGGTATGGTGGTGCATGCTGGTAATCTCAGCTACTCAGGAAGCTGAGGCAGGAGAATCGCTTGAACCCGGGAGGTGGAGGTTGCAGTGAGCCAGGATCATGTCATTGCACTCCAGCCTAGGCAACAAGAGCAAAACTCTGTCTCATAAATAAATAAATAGTTCAGCTTTATTAGGTTATAAACCACAAGTCTACTAGTGGGTGATAGTTGAAAAAAACTGGAGAGAAATGTGTATGCATGTGTGTGTGTGTGTGTGTGTGTATTGTATACATATGCATGTATTTTCTCATCTGCAAAGTATAGCTAAAACACCAGTTTTATATAAAAACTTAAAAAATCTAATAGTGTAAAAGTTCTTCATAGAGTGTGTAACACATCTATAAACATTTTTATAAATGGCATCTTATTGTTATAAATGCTTTCATTTTTTCCTTGACTTTACATCCACATTTCTGTAATTGGTCATAGGAAATAACCTGAAGATGCACATGACTTCATCATGACCTCCAGGGTAGGCTATAAATGTAGACCTATAGGGTCTGTAACAGTACAGAGGAGGTGGATTCATTTTCTCAAGGGATAATTAAATAAGATCAAGAGTCTCAAAGATTCCAATCTATGAAAGAGTCACAATAAAGTATGACTCCTTAAAGCTGAAATGAGATCTCCAGATGATATAGTCAGATGATTCTCAATCTTTAACAAGAAAAACATATCATTCCAGATTTCTACAAAGCCTCTGGCAATACTGATGCTCTCTGTCCAGAGACCACATTTTGAGCACCAATGAGCTAATCAACACACTTGTTTTCAAAGGAAGGAGCTGTTTGGTCAATGTCACAGTAGTTTGTGGCCGCTGACTTTCCCAAGGGGCTAGCAAGCAGCAAAGCTAGGTCTAGAACTAGTTTTCCAATTTATAATTTGATTCAATTAAAAAGAAATCAACTTATCATAGAGTAAGAATTTAAAGTATATATGTTATAAATTCAAAAGGGTAGTCATTGAGTGGAGGAATTACCTGGTCAGTTATTTTGTATTATTAAGATGTTTTAAAATTGCATAAGAGATGGCTTATTGAAGAATAATTAGAAAATGGGAATAAGCAAAGTAAAATAAGGACTATCATTGCTCAAAGTTAACCAAAGTGTATTTAATCTGTTCTGACATATTTAGGTGCATGTTATTTTTTCTTTTTCTAATGTATACACAATTTGTTGTGTAAAAAATGGGATTATATGCCAACTATTATTTCCCATTTTAATAACATACTTCCATAATATAATTTTTAACAGTTTTATAATATCCAACTATGGGAATATACTATAATTTATTTAACTTTTGTTTATATGTAGGTTTCTTCCTGTTCACATTTTTTTTAACCTAGAAAGTTACTCATTGGCTCCCTGTAGCAGGATAGTGCTCAGTTTCTCCAGTGCCAGGAGCAAACAGCCAATGCCATAATAAGAAAGAAGGTCAACTCTATGAATTGCAAATCAGATTTTCAAAGAGGTGACTGACACATAAATTAGTTATTGACCAACCAGTCAATTTTAGCATCATAATCTCATACATTAGATCACATGTCTCAGTACTGGATCGTAAAAAGAAGTATATCTGGATCCGTAAACCTCTTGTATTCCTTATGGGTCACTCTGTGATATTGTTTCCTTTCCTCAGGCTTCCAACGTATTATTTCTTTTCTGCAACTGTGCACCTCTGACTTAGCTTAGGAGCTCCCAGCTAGAAGGGTCTTGGGTATTGAATTCAACCTTTGAAGCACACAAATGAGGTAAACTTGGTGCCAAGGTCAACCAGCAACCTCTGGGACTAGAGGACTAGAAGACAGGCCTGGAACCCAGAACTCTTGATGCTTTCCACCACAACCCACTGCCGTTGACCTTGGAAAATGAAAGAAAGGTCACAGAAATGAAGATCCAAACTACTTGCCATCAGTCTGCTTGGATAACTTTTTCCTTCTGTTTTAGTTCATCTGCTTTTATTGCTTAGACGTATCCAAAAAAAGGCCTAGTGGCTTCTCTGAACAAAAGTACCCCTCAAGGCTAATAACTAGAGGTGTATTATGATAATCTTCTTAGTTGTGGAGAATGATATTCAAAAACAACTTCTTATAAAAGGAATAATACTTAATCCACATTGGGAAAGATATTTTTAAACTCTCTGTAGGACTCTATATTTGCAGATACCTTATCAGAAAGTTGAAAGCGATTTGGGATGGGGAATTATCTCTAAATTTATACTCGAGAATGTAAATTACATACAAACTAATGGGGACTAAAACTATTTGATCTTTTAATATTTAATTAATGGTTCCCTGTGGCGTTTTTATAGTCTGTGTTCTATTGTGAGCAACGAGACTTTAATAAGCAGGTTCAGGACTTCCCATTGTGTAGCAAGATGCCATTGCTTCCATGACACCAATTTGGCTTTCATACTCTCTCTCTTTCTCTCTTCTCTTGCTGTAGGGTTCCCTGTGTCTTGCTCTCACATTGGGAAGAAATAAATATATCAGTTGTATTGTTACTGCCTGTGTGAGTTTCTTTCTGGTGTGGAAAATAGTTATCTCACTGGGCAAAAGGTTTCTTCATTCCCTCCAACCCTGAAATCCCATTAAGATTATTAAAAATATGATAATATTTTCTTTATGGGAGCAGAGGACTAACTATAATGAGATATGATACATTCTCTCTATTTTCAGGTAAAGACAAATTTGCTTGGACTTTAAAAATCACGTCTGACCTGGAGCCGATTTTCTGACTTTGTGTGTTCATTGTGAAGTGATCCCAGTTTGGACGTGACAAGAGAGATCCGAGTGTCTGAGTCTGCACAAACATTCTCTTCTATACCACTCCTGTTGAGCTAGGGAACTCAGTACATGGAGAGAAATCAGCACAGACATGGACGTTGTTTGTGTGACAACTGGCCCCAGGCTAGTCTAGCTCAAGAAAATATAAGGAAACAAACACATACGTTTTCAAAATTCCCTCAGTAGGTTTGCTTTACTAAAACTACTCAGTGCTGGACTATACAAGACAACGTTGCCTGTCATGCTGTGTCAGATGATGTGTGCATATTACCTCACCATCTCTTTCTGTTTGTCTCAGGTTGCATGTTGTCTCTGAGCTGATTATTCAATGACAGTAAACACATTTTCCTTCTATTTAATATCAGAAATAATGAAAATGATAAAGATTTCATTAATTGGTATTTACCATTTTATATATAATAATATATACGGTGTTTCATAGCATGGCACAGTTACAGTTACCATTTTATTCATCTAATAAATAAGCAAACTGATGTATAGAATGACAAAATGATGTATAATGGATTCTCATAAGAAAGGCTGAGATTTAAACCTTAATGTCCCAGACACAAGTATGTCCTTTGTCAAGTCAAAGTATGAATACTTTTATTTTATGTTTGGCACTAAATGACTAAAGTTAACGTATTATAATAACTATAATAGTAAGATGGGGGAGAGGACAATTCTGTATCTGGTAACATTTTCCCTCTGTGTTCTGTAAGGGCTAGACTTAACATTTTTACCAAAGATAAGACTAGCACAGTGAGAAGACTGATAGGACTCCAGAGGCTACCAATTCATTCTGTAAAGAACATGCTTTATTTTTTTGTGGCCAACTTTAAAAAATTTTTATTTTAGTGCTTTTATTTATGTATTCATTTTACTTTAAGCGCTGGAGTACATGTGCAGAACGTGCGGGTTACCTAGGTATACACTTGCCATGGTGGTTTGCTGCACGCATAACCCCATCATCTACGTTAGTTATTTCTCCTAATGTAGATGATGTTGTTCCTTCCTTAGCCCACCCCACCCCCCTGAAAGGCTGTGGTGTGTGATGGTCCCCTCTGCATGCCCATGTGTTCTCATTGTTCAGCACCCACTTATGAGTGAGAACATGTGGTGTTTGGTTTTCTGTTCTTGTGTCAGTTTGCTGAGAATGACAGGTTCCAGTTTTATCCATGTCCTTGCAAAGGACATGTATTCATCCTTTTTTATGGCTGCATCATATTCCATGGCGTATATATGTGTTGTGTATATGTGTTATGGTGAATATGTGTTGTAACTTTAGAAAAGGTATACAACAAAACATCACCCTCATCTTCCATCTTCATCACATTCTTTCCTACACATAGGGAACCAATGTTAATAGTGTCTATGTATCCTTCAAGAGTTACTATAGGCATATAGAAGCAAACACAAATATTTATTCTTATTCCTTCTCCTTTTTATACAGAAATTGGCATATTTTACCCTCTCTTCTGATCATTCTTTTCTTTCATTTAATAATACATTAAACAATCTTTCCATATTAACACTATCTTCTTTGTGCTTTTTATAACTTCATCATATTTTGTGGTATGAATGTATCCTATAATATGTACCCCTAGTCCCTTATTGATAGATGTTTGTGTTTTTTTTCCAGAGATTTTTGCTATCCAAAAATGAGGCTGCAAAGAACACTTTATAGATATGTCATGTTGTACATATGCAAAAACTTCTTTAGTATACTTTCACAGAAGTGAAAATCTGGATCAAAGGATAGATCATTTCTCATTTTGATAGGCTTTGCCAATTATTTTCCATAAGCAAGGCAAGTAAGGTTTTAAAAATTCTACATTATTATACTCATCTTCACATATCTTTGGCAAAGTGCCTGGCATAAAAACATTCAATAAAATGCTTATTTTAGAATTATTTCATTACTCTTTAACTCTGCTTAACAATTTTTTTCTTCTGAAAAACATTAGTCTCACTACTAAGTTATATTTGTTGAGACCAAAATTATGTGAATACAGGAAGACAGACCCAAAAAAAATACCCATGTTGAGTCATCAAAGAAAGTATTATTTTTTTAGAGGACAAGTGGGACTGGAAGAGTCAGACTGCATCACAGGAAGCTGAGGTTGAATGTAGGGAAAATTGTCATACAATCATAGGGAACTCCCCTCTGGGGTCGTGATGACTGATGTTGGCACAGCCTTCTCTGTTGAAGTACATTTGAGCAGTGGTTCTCTCAGAAAAGGCTCCACACCAGCAGCAGCACCCAAGAACTTGTTAGAAATGCAAATTCTCAGGTTCCACTGTGGTCCAGTTGAATCAAAAACTCTGGGTATAGTCCGAAATCTATGTTTTAACACAAATGTTAGGCGATTCTGACATACACTGAAATTTAAGAGGCATTGAGCTACAAAGTCTATGAATTTGTTAGAACAGATGGCAATCAATCTTTAAGCTGGGGTTGAGCCTATAAGTAGTAACACCTGTTTGGGGAAGGATACAGAAAATGAGGTGAGGAGACTGACAGAGTTTATCTCGCTGAGTCAGCTAAAATTTATTGTCAGAGTATTGGAAGAAGGCTACTTTGTGTTTTATTGACACATGCTCTAGGAAGAGAGAAAAGGTGTAATTTAAAAATGTACAGATTGCTAAAGGCTTTGAACTTTATATTGCTTGTTTGGGAAAACTATTTCTCTGAAAGTGGCTGTCTTCATTTTTATACTAAAGTCTAAGATTATAGAAGATGGGACCTAGACCGCTTTTTCTCCACCCAAGGAGAAAAGCTTACCAGAATTCAAGACTAAGTTCTCTGGAAGGCAGCTAGGCACACAGGCATACAGGCAACTGCATGAACTATGTCTTTTGTGACCAGCTTTCTGCAGGAGCTGTTGGAGTATACTAACTAATCGTAAGTGCAATGTGGTCCAGGTCTGCTCTAAACTAGTTATTTTCTCCTTTCCACTCAGCCAGGGGCCATTGAGACTGCCGTGGAAGACTTGAAAGGCCACATAGCTGAGACTTCTGGAGAGACCATTCAAGGCTTCTGGCTCTTGACAAAGTGAGTAGTCATGGCTAAGTGAAGGGCAGCGGGAATGCAGCATTTTTCTTGACGTCACTAGAACAGAATAGGAGATGAACCTGTGGTTGAATTTGTCTGGTTGCTACATAAGATAAATGATTGAGTTATCCAGTTAGGCACGTTTTTCTGGCACTCTGGCTGATGGTGTGAGCAGATATGACTCCTATAACTGTTTTCTGGGCTGGCCCCCTCGCTCAACCATCTCTGTATCTACTTTAGGTCAGGTCTGTGTCACCACTCTCAAAGACTGTTATGCTGGCTTTCTAATTCTCTCATTTCAATCCCTCTTATTTAAAAGCACTGCCCCTATAAACACATTGAACTACTAATTATCTCATTCTACGTGACATGGAAAGGAAGTTTGGGAAATAAGATAGATAAAGTGAACATATATACTTTGAATTTTATCTTATATACAATCATATGAACAGAAAAACCAGGGAAATTATGAAGATATATAGGACAAGCACGTTTCCAGAGTTAGTATAAAACCAAGTCTAACATTTACGCCCTTATTTCTTCAATAACTGTCTGCATTCACCCCAAAGATTATCCTAGCCACAAGAGCATTGATTGCAAATACCACCACAAAGATGGTTGCCTTTCTAGTGTTCCCAGAAATTCTATTGTTTGTATGACTATGTTTTTACTGCCAAATAAATATTAGTAATGCCATGGTCTTTGTAATAATAAGTAAAATATCTTCATAACAAGAGAAAGAGGCAACTATTGTTTTTACTACAAAAGGCTTAATATGAAATAGATAATTTAATTGGAATATCCAGTTCAGATACTTTATTAATTCAGTAAGTTCTGTTTTCTGACTTGGTAACTTGATCACAAAAGGGTCCAGCAGAGAAGCTCAGTGATTCCTTTACCTTGAGTAAATAATATGAATCTTTAACTCCTGGACAGGACATCCTCTTTGACTAAGTTTCAGGAGGGCAACTCTTGAATATTTCACCATCCAGTACAGCAGAACAAATTTTTCAATCCGTGGGAAATAGGAACATATCAACTGTGAGTTCATCTGACTGATCACCAATTTATACTATTGTTTCAAATGGGATTCAAGAATAAAGTAAAAAATGAGCTCTTAGACACCAACCTGTGTGTCAATTTTACGTCTTTGTCTTTTTATGCATAAAATGGAGTTAAAGTATGTATCTGAAGAATACTTGAGAGGACCAAATGAGATAACATTGGTAAATTAGCCTTGCCTAGCACACGGACTTTAAATAGCTATTAGTGCCCCTCTTAGTTCACAAGTAGTGACTATTAGCACGAGGCTCTTTTTTTTGTAGCTTCTGTTTTCATTTCTATCCTGTTCATTTCTGTCATTTCGGGGTTACTTCTAATGAAAATAAAACTCTGTAATTCAGACTTTTTCCTAATTCACTTTTACCAAGACACATTTCATTTCCCACTCCCCACTTCCCATCCAGAGTGAAATTTGACTTATACAAATGAATAGTATGCCTTGATTAGGATGGATGTCAACATAGATTTTGGAGATCCAATGAGTGGTAAACACGTAACTAATTTGTTTCTGTACTGCATCTCCCTTAAAAGAAAGAATACGCAAATGTGGTATTTCAAAATCTAGTTGGGGCTGTTTTTGAGTTCTCGGATAATAGAACTGGTAATTTCTTTAATACTGCACATTTTAATTGGTTTTATTTTTATAGACATACCTTTTTTTTTGTTTGCTTGATTTTTTTATTCAGTGATTATAAAGATTTGTAGACATAAGTTGTCCAAAGATAAAACAAACTGTATGATCTGCATTGAAGCTTAGCACTGCAATTCTACATGCTTGATTTAATATTAACTACAATGATTGGCAACAACAGTAGTTTTCAGAAAAATATGAACAGCTGTCCCCCAAAGACCCAAACTTTGAATCCAGCTGGAACTTAATAGGAAGCTCAAAAGTTGGTAAGGCCTATCTAGAAACTCATTTTACATTTCTCTTTGGTTTTGTAGTACCTATTTAAGTACAACAATAAGGGATGCATCCTGCAGACGTGGAATTTCCTACAGTCGTATTTGCTTGTTTGCTTACAGGGTTGGTTCGTTTTCATTTGGAACCCATCCGTCCCCTTTAAATGGTAGTTCCTTGGTGTTCTTTTTGGTCTTCTCTCTGCCAAAATTCTTTACTGCCTCTTCCCATTAAAACCCACTTTCATGAAAAGTTCTGATTTCAGTCATTTCTTCCATAGTGATAATTGGCCAGTTTTTTCTTTTCTTGTTAAAAACGTCATCATGGGTTCTGAGATGCCTTATGCAATGGAAAGAGCTGCTAGTTGTAAAGAAGATGGTTCAGGCATCTGATTCAAATAAATGAGGTTCCTAGTCTAGTCACTGTTACTTCTCAAGCAGAAAAATAAAAGGTCCCATTGTCAAAAGAGGAAAACTCATAGAGGATTTGAATGGCCTTTCATATTTAAGTCTTTTTTCTTGTTTGTTTGTTTGAAAATTCTGTCACACCAAGGTAGGGAAAGGCAGACACAAAAACTATAAGAACACATAAATAAACATCCCAACTACCCCTGACAGCAACCACAAAGCAAAATAGCTAAACAAAATAAACGTGCAGTCCCAGAATAGTGAGAGCTTGCAATTACTCCTGGCTTCTTGCCTCCTTTTTATAATGGAATGAGACCCATCTATTTAGTTCTTATGAATTATAGGAGGTGTAACATGGACCAACTGCTCTAGCCTGGCGAACCACACAAGATTCCCTTTTACATAAGACAAAAAGGATTGAGCTTCAAGCACATTAACTTTTAGCTCATTCCATGGAGATGGGAAACTCCTGGCTGATTGTCTAGCAAGCTGGCTGTCTGTCTAGTACGTCTGGCTTTGGAACAAGGATTCCCATTTCAGAATGGTGAGAGTAAAAAGCCCTTTTATGGTGTATAGCACATTACAAAGTATTTTCACATCTGTGAACTTAAGTTAGCTTTACAACAACTTTGTCGGTTTTATGATTCCAATTTTATAAATGAGAAATGTGGGCCAGAGAACATGAAGTGCCCAAATGAAGAACATATGAGTGATAGGGCAAGGAAAATAGACAGCACTCCTCCTTTGCTCTTGAGGCTGATTGGGTTCTAATTCTTTCCAAAGATGCAGGTGTGAATTGATTGATGAACTCAGCTTAGTCTTTAGTCATGGTTGATCAGACTCCTAGAAATAGTTTGATGTAGGTGGGCAAGGTGGGAATTGTCAAGAGAGGAATTGCCAAGAGAGGGGACTGGAGAAGATCTTAATGGCTTTTGTATCATGTTAAAAAACTTAGATTCTATCCCGTATGTGATGAGGAAGCACTGAAGGGTTGAGAAAGTGCAATTGATTTCCATTTTATAAAGATCACTACAGGGCTTCAATCTTTTATCTAAAATTGTTGGAGCTAGATATGAATTATAGATGAGAATTTTTCAGATTTCAGAAGGGTAAAACAATGCATATATTGTTTATTTTACTAACATTAAGTTGGTTGAGCCATTTTTCAAGGAGTCATACTCAAATTAATTCAGGTAAGCTGTTTTGTGATTCTCTAAATTGATAGGGACACATTATTCAGTAAAATCAGAAAAATAAGTTTGCAGGCACTTGAGAGGAGAATACAAAGAGAATAAACAAAGAATCCAAGCGGGCACTGGAGAGATTCAGCCCTAAACCCAGCATAACTGGGAAGTTAGGCTGACACCATTAAGAGAATTCTAACGAATCTTCCATTAGGATTCAGGTCTCCAGCCCAGTGCATCAAGGAGTGTTACATACAACTATAAAGACAGGACAGTGTTTATTTCCACCTTGCAGTTTCCTATTACCCTTCTTATTGGCCCTTCCGAAAAAAGATTATTTAGAAAGATTGTGTGAATGCTTTTAGAACTGATCCATTAAGTCAGCACCAAGGAGAACATCTTGACACTCTATGGAATCTCAAAAAGTGAGATGCGATGGCAATAAAGTGGCTCTTCAGTGGAATGCACTTGAGGTGTCTTTGTCTACAATGGTTAGAGAGGCGGGAGGAGATAGCATCTTCCCTCCACGTACTTAGTGTGAAGTGGTCGTGGGGGATTGTTGTTCTTATTCCCCTTATTTCTAATTGAGAATAGTTGCCTATGGTCCCTAAGAACCAGTAAATTCTTGCTTTTCATCTTTATAAAAGATACGTAAAATATGTTTCAGGATCCCTGCAAACTCCACCTGGTGTCTATTCCAGGGCTTTGGTATAATAAATATGTGAAATTGGACTAACTGTCTCTGTGGGACATATAGGCAGTAGAATCAAAGTAAAGTTGAGTCAGCCTGGTGTCATAGAGAAAGTACCGAATTTGGAATCAGAAGGGTTGGCTTTGAATCCTGGATCTACTACTTACTATCAGTAAAGCTGCCTGAACTTGAGAAGGGTTTGCTTTTTTATTTTTTTAATTGGTGAATTTGTCTTCATATGTCCTTCGTTGTTTTAATATTTGATTTAATATGCCCTTGTTTTAATAGTTTTTCCATGGTTGTGCAGATTCCCCATTTAATATGTCTTTTAGTTCATTAGATATTTACTGCTCTTGAAAGAACCACAACCACTTTTAATTTTATATATATGTATATTATTCTAGCTTATTTTTATGCATTTTTGCCAAGAATTGTTACATATTAATGATGACATTTATTGAGCACTTAAAATGCACCCAATGTTTTGATGTCCATGCATTTGCCATTATATTAGTACAAATGTATGTAATTTTCTTTTAACTTTTACTTTAAGTTAAGGGGTACAAGTGCAGGTTTGTTACATAGGTAAACTTGTGTCATGGGGTTTGTTGTGCATGTCATTTCATTACCCAGGTATTAAGCCTCATTAGTCAGATGTCTCATTATCTTCTATCTCCTCCCAGCTTCTACCTTCTGATAGGCCCCAGTGTGTGTTGTTCCCCTCTATGTGCCCATGTGTTCCATCATTTAGCTCC